GACCCTGCCACGCCCCAGTACACACCCAAGCGCGCACACACGCTTCCAACACATCTCTGTTATACCTGCACCAACATAGTTCCCCCCACGAGGCCCCCACCACCTCACACTCTCCATATGCCCATTACAGACACCCCACCCACGTTCCCAGCCCAGACACTGCAGTCCACCCACCCCAGAGCGAAGTCCCAACACAAACCCACACGCCAGCGGCTGACACTCCCCACTCCCCAGGCACACACCTCCAGCATCGCCAACACCACTAATACGCCCCATTATGCTTGCACACCTGCTGGATCGCACACTCCCCAGCATCCTGCCCCGCCCCCACCGCAAATCGCCTTCGACACCCCCAGCCATCCCTGAGTCCCTCCCACCACTCTCCCCCAACACCTGGCACGCGGGCTCTAGAGGCTGCAGCATTTGGTGGCATCCCTGCCAGGCACCTCTGGCTCTCCTTTGGCAGCGGCTCACCAGCCTGGGCCCCCAAGTGCCTACCTAAACAGACCTTGAGACTCCCAGCGACTGAGTTGGCCTCTTCCCTAAGGGATAAAGAAGGCACTTAGGGCCCAAGGTAGGGTACTCAGATGGGGAGGCGAGAGGCCACGGGGAGGGGGCGGGGAGGAAGCAGAAAGAGGCGCTGAAATGGAGGCGGCCCAGGTGGGACCAAAGGGGCGCCAGTGCCCGGCATGCACATAGTAGGTCGGTTCCTTGAGGGCTGGGGTCCCCGTGCACTGTGTGCCTGTCTGCTTGTGTGTTGGGGGGAGGGCTGTGTGTGCACGTGTGCTTGTGCGTGTCTGGGGGTGGAGGAGGAGTGTGTGCTCGGCAGAAGGAAAAAGCAGGAGCAGCACCCTCCTGGGCTCCCTCAGGCAACAATTGGTTTCATTCATTCATGCCTTCTTTGTTAACGAGCATTTCTTCCGTGAGCGCCGGGCGCGTGCCAGGCCCTGCACTGGGGGCTGGGGCCAGCTTGGGGCCGGGCACACACCCGTTCCTGCCTTGGAGGAACTCCCAGTCCCGCGAGGAGATCGACCAGGAAAAGCAGAAAGCCATCCCCAGCGGAAAGTGGATTTGGTGGAAAAGACACTGGATTTGGCAGGAACGCAGTCGCTGGGAGTTGTGCTCCTGGCCATGTGACCGGGCCGCGACAGCCGAAATCCTGCCACTCGGGCCGGCGGGAACAGTGCATTTCGGGGGGGAAGGGGGGGCGCCGCACTCGGGAGGCTCCCTGGACCAGAGGGCGCACGCGGCGCGCACGGGGACTGCGGGCGGCGGCGTCCCCGAGGCCTCCAGAGGGCGCTGGCCGGGCCGGGCGGAGGCCAGGGGCGCCCGGCGGGGGCGGGGGCGGCGGGCTCAGCGCCCACCCTGCGGCGAACAGGGAGCGTGCGGCCTAGCGCCGCCCGCCGGACGGGGCCAGGCGATGCCAGGGCGCGCGGCGCGGCGCCCCCAGCACGGAGCACAGCCCTCCTGGAGAGCGGCCGTGGGGCGGGGCTGGCGCCCAGAGCAGGCGCTACAGGGGGCCTGAGTGGGGCAGGCCCGGCCAGGGGGGTGGTTGGCTGCGCTTAGCCCTGCAGCGCGGAGGTGGCAACAGGTTCCCGTTTGTCCTGTTCCTGGCGCTGCCGGCGCTGCAGGCGCCGAGCACTGAGCACTGACTTTCGAGATTGACCCTCATCCCCCACTCCCTAGCGCTCTCCCGGGTTGGAGGGCTTGCCAGCAGGGATCTGGGTAAGGTGCAGGGTAGCCACCCTTCAGGCGTCGGGAGACGCAGATTGTGGGAACCTAGGCTTCCGCTTCCTTCGCCATGGCGAAGGCTGCCCCTCTCTCTCCATCCTCCTCCCCAGCCCAGCTCCCCTCACCTCCTCCAGGGAGCCCTCTCCAGAGAGCAACCCGGGCACCTCAGGAGCTACTGTCTCCCTGGGTTGGCGATCCTCTCTCTCTCCAGCTCCCTGCCTGCCGCAGCCCTGTGCCACTCCCACTATCCACAACCAGGCTGGCACATGGCAGAACCTCCATGGTGCCTTCAACCCCTCCCCGCTCCCAAGGTCCCACCCTGCAGACCCACAGCTGGTACCCACCTCTGCCACTGTGGAGCTGGGGTGTGGGAGACGGGAGAAGGTAGCAGACAGTTTCTGCCCCAGGAGCACACTGAGAAGGGGAGTGGGGCACAGAAGGGAGGCCTCCAGGCTGCCCCTGAGACTGGAAGGCTGCCTTGGAGGGCATGAAGAGTGAGTAGAATCTGGGCAGGTGGCCTAGGGTCATGTTCACAGGGCAAGAAGGGAAGGAGGGTCATAGCCCAGGTGCCTACAGCCCCTGGTTGCAAGTGTCTGGATTTGATCTAGAGTCAGGGATGTGGTGGGGTGTGGCCAGAGATGAGCCCACTACCAGGGTCCTAGGAGTCCCACGCTGGTGGCCCACTGTGGGAGTGGAAAGGAGAAGAGCAAACTGGAGGCCCCTTAGAGGTGACCTAGCTTTCTGTGACCTGCACTCTTCCCCTTACCATTATCTCACACACTCTCATCTCACTCTGTGATTCATAAGAGGAGTCTTCTCAACAGACATACGGACCGACTGGGCTTCATTTCTCTAAATGCTGGACTTCTGGGTTGCTTTGCATTTTTCACCACATTTTTCACTGTGGTGCCTATCCCTATGTGCATAGCTTTGCTTTCTTTTGCTTTACTTCCTTAGATTCCCATAAGTGGCCAAAGGGTTGGATTTTTTTTCCTAGCTCTTGATATTGCCAGATTAGTTTCCAAAAGGGCCATACCAATATATAATGCTCCAGCAAAAGAACAGCGTGCTTTCACAGCAGCCTTGCCAGCACTGAGTGTTCTCATTTTGAGAACATTTCACTAATGTAGTAGGTGGGATGTGTTACCTTGTTTGTTATTGTTACCTTGTTTTTTGAATTTGCTTTCCTTCCATGCCTGAGGTTGAACCTTCCCCCCAAATATTTTTTACCCTGTTGCATTCCCTCTTTCATGCAGTATGCAGTCTTTTCAGGTTCCTTGCTTATTTATCTACCAGGGTCTTAATCTTTTGATTAATTTGTATGAGTTTTATCTTATCTGTCGTACATTTTCCTTCAACACTGTTATTTGCTTTTGCTGGGCTTTAAGTAGAGAAGGGACATTTAGCCTATTGGCTTTTTAGAAACCTCCCCCGACCCTGTTTCATTGTCTCAGCACTTATCTCACCTGATAGCTTGTCCAGCCTCCTTGCTGATTGTTGATCTGTCCTGCTAGATCAACAGGACACTGGGCAAGCAGGGACCCTGTGTGTCCTGCCTGTTCATTGCCCTGTGCCCACCGAGGCCAAGGAGGGAGGCCACCGGCCTTTGTTGAATGAATGGCATTCTGGCACGGGCAGGCAGGGCAGGGTGGAGGGCAAGCTGACACAGACAGGCATGGAGGCAGGGAGACTGTTTTGGAAGATGTGATGGTGACCTGGCCAGGAGCTGGTGAGTGTGAGCACTCAGCCAGTGCAGGGGACAGGGGAGAGCGTAGATGTGGGGGATATTTAAGTAGAAACTACTTCCCTCCAGATTGATCTGTCCAGGGCATGTTAAGGGAAGGAGGCGGAGGGAGGAGGCAGGGGTGACTCGGAGCTCCTGGCTGCCTTTGCCCAGGCCTGTGCAAATGAAGGGGTGGGGGTGCCCAGGAGCTGCCCTCTGCCTCCCTAGTCCTCCAGCCAGCCTTGGGCAGGGCTCTGGCCTGAAGGCAGCGGTAGGTTTCTGGGCCTGCTTCCTACCCCCCTCCATGATTTCAGTGGCATCCCATGGTAGCCCAGGGTGGTGGCTATGATAAGCCCATTGTACAGATGGGGCCACTGAAGTCCAGGCAGGGGATAAGATGGTCCAGGATCACCGGGTGAGTGGGTTGGAGGCAGCTTCTGGAGCAGGGGCCCAGGCTCTTGTCCTCACCCCTCCCCTGCCTCCAGGGCCCAGGCTGGCGCCGGCCAGGGGAGCTGCAGCTGATCCCCTGTTGGGCCCCTGACCTGCCCTTAGCCTCTGCCCTGACCCTGTCCCGCCTGGGTGGAAGGAAGCCCCAGATCAGCCTGCTACTTGCAGGTACCACCCGACTGCTTTGGCTAGCACCCGTTGGCTCGCCGCCCCCTGAGCCCGCCCCGCCGCCCCGCCCCTCTGCCCCTCTGAACTGCAACTCCATGTCCGAAGGCAGCGGCTTCCAAGGTGGAAGCTGCATCCCGCTGCCAGGAAGCGGCCGGCGCGCAGGCTGCACCGGGCTGGGAGCTCGGCTTCCAAGTGCGAGCCTGCTCCGCCGCCCCGCCCACCTCCTGGCGGCCGCGCCTGGGGACTCTGCCCAGGGACGGCGCCCCGCCGTGGCAGTGGCCGTGGCCGGGACGTCCACGCGCGGTCGTCCGCCGCCGGATTGCGCTCCAGGTCTCTCTCCTTTTGTTCTCTCCTGGGCGGGAGCGTGGGGCGGTGTGCCAGGACAGAGTCAACTCAGTGAGGGCTCGCCGAGGCCCATCACCTTGGTGCCACCACTGTTCCCCTGGCCCACCTGGCTGTGAGGGCGATCTAGGCCTTGAACCCCCACCCCCTCACACGCACACATCCCCAAAGTCGGAAGCTCGAAATTGGGGAATGATCACGTCAGGCTGAGAGAAGCAGAAAGGGGGTGTGGAGGGCGGTGGCTGTGGCCTTGGGGCACCCCAGGATGAGTCTCGAAGGGGCGGATAGATGCTTAGCCATCTTCTGGGGGACCCCTCACGCTTTCTTTCCCGCGGGCGCCAGAGTGGCTGCCTCGGATGTTTTTCCTGGGGTGCCTTTCTGCCTGTCCTCACTGTGGGAGGGGCGCGAGAAGAGAAGCAGGCGGTGGAGGGGTGTCCCTGTGGGACCCTGGGCGCCCGGCTTTGGGACAAGGGGCTGGCTTCACGTCTTGGCCCTCTCAGCCCGCGGGCGGGCGGGAGAGTCTGGCTCACGCCGCACCTTCCCTCTCTCCGCAGCGCCCGCGGCCCGACGTGTAGGGAGCCGCGCGCCCATGGAGGGCCTGGGCCGCTCGTGCCTGTGGCTGCGCCGGGAGCTGTCGCCCCCGCGGCCTCGGCTGCTGCTCCTGGACTGCCGCAGCCGCGAGCTGTACGAGTCGGCGCGCATCGGCGGGGCGCTGAGCGTGGCCCTGCCCGCGCTGCTGCTGCGCCGCCTGCGGAGGGGGAGCCTGTCGGTGCGCGCCCTCCTGCCCGGGCCGCCGCTGCAGCCGCCCCCGCCCGCCCCGGTGCTCCTGTACGACCAGGGCGGGGGCCGGCGCCGGCGCGGGGAGGCCGAGGCCGAGGAGTGGGAGGCCGAGTCGGTGCTGGGCACGCTGCTCCAGAAGCTACGGGAGGAAGGCTACCTGGCCTACTACCTCCAGGGTAGGTGCAGCAGCAGCGGGGTGGCGGGCACCGGCCAGGGGAGGACCCGGGCCTAGGGAGGCAGGGCCCTGCTTTCCCAGGAGATTCGCAACTAATTTGACATTGGACGACCCCCACCTCAGTTTGTCTACAGTGGAGGTGAAACTGTCTCCCCTGATAATCTGCCGGGCTGCTTTTGGGGGAGGGGAGCCTGGGTGTGACCTTGGGCAAGTCCTTCCTTCGTCCTTGGAAGCCCTAGTTTCTGAGTCTGGAAAATGGGAAGAATTGGGCAGACCTGACCTAGTTCACAGGATGCTCAAGAACAAAGTACCAAGTGTGGGCTCCCCAGGGTCCCCGTGATGGTATCTCTCCTCCCCCAGCTACTCAGAGGGCAGCAGGGACCTACCTTCCACCCCCACCTCCATAGTCCTGGCAGGTCAAGGGAGGGCTGAGCCCAATACCACCCCCCCCCCCCCCCAGAGGCCCAGGGCAGAAACAGGGTTTCCATGAACCTATAGAGCTAGCTGTCGCCAAGAAAGGTCATAGGACTATATTGGGGATATATAAATATATAAAGTGGCAGATTTCTGGGCCTCCACCCCCAGCCCTGGGAAATAGTAGTATCTGTAGATGAGGCAGATGCTGGCTTCTTGGGACTTTGTAACCATTCAGGTGGAATGTCACACTCTCTCCCACGTTCCCCACCTCTTGGGGCCCCACTTCATCCCTGAGGGTGCTCCCAGTCACACTGGATCAGGAGACACCCAGGCAGAGAACTGCCATCTGAACCTTTCCCCTTCTTAACTGATGGCTGCTGTCCTCCCTGAGGCTGGTAGTAGTAACATCTAGGCTCTGTTGAGCCCTCACACCTGCCTCAGCTCAGCCCTGGGGGCGTAAGATCCTCTTGGGTGGCTCTACATGCGGGGTGTTTGCTGTCCAAAGGAGTGGCCAGCAGTGCTGACTGTGGGTGCCCAGGGTGCCCACAATCCTCCCCGTGTGGCCACCAGGATAGATCAGGCTGCAGGCTTTTTGTTCTCTTTGGGGACATCTGCAACTCCCCCAGGCTGTCTAGGGTCAGCTCCTATCCCCAGCCAGGGGCACTTGGCTGCCCAGTAGACCAGGCCAGCAGGACCCACCCCCTCTCCTCCACAGGTGGCTTCAGCCGATTCCAGGCCGAGTGTCCTCACTTGTGTGAGACCAGCCTCAATGGCCGTGCTGGCTCGAGCGTGACCCCAATGCCCAGCCCAGTGCCCGTAGTGGGGCTGGGTGGCCTGTGCCTGGGCTCCGACTGCTCTGATGCGGAATCCGAGGCTGACCGCGACTCCATGAGCTGTGGCCTGGATTCGGAAGGTGCCACGCCCCCCCCAGCGGGGCTGCTGCCATCCTTCCCTGTCCAGATCCTGCCCAACCTCTACCTGGGTAGTGCCCGGGATTCAGCCAACTTGGAGAGCCTGGCCAAGCTGGGCATCCGCTACATCCTCAATGTCACCCCCAACCTCCCTAACCTCTTTGAGAAGAATGGCGACTTTCACTACAAGCAGATCCCCATCTCTGACCACTGGAGCCAGAACTTGTCCCAGTTCTTTCCGGAGGCCATTGCATTCATTGGTGAGTCTGCCTGGCCCACCCCTCCTTCCGACCTCTCCACCCCCCAGGCCCGGCTCCCACCTCTCCTATTTCTCCCTCCTCTCCCTCATGACAGTTCCTCCCAGGCTTAGCTGCCATTCTGAGAGCCCAGAGCCAGGATGGCACTTCTGGGGGGCGGGCAGAGCTCAGGCCAGCTCCCAGAGGCTGCCAGGGAAACGTCCGGGACTGTTCCGAGGGCAGGGCGGGGGCTCCGGGGGCCCATCCGGAAGGCCTTTGCCTCCCTCACGCTAGCCCTCTGGTCTCCCCCGCCCTGCCTGCCCCACCTAGACGAGGCCTTGTCCCAGAACTGCGGGGTGCTCGTCCATTGCCTGGCAGGGGTCAGCCGCTCTGTCACGGTCACCGTGGCCTACCTCATGCAGAAGCTCCACCTCTCGCTCAACGACGCCTACGACCTGGTCAAGAGGAAGAAGTCTAACATCTCCCCCAACTTCAACTTCATGGGGCAGCTGCTGGACTTTGAGCGCAGCCTGCGGCTGGAGGAGCGGCGCTCCCGGGAGCGGGAGCGGGAGCCAGGCGGCGGGCAGGACTCCGCCTGCGACCCGCCCTCCTTCTTCACCACCCCCACCAGCGATGGCGTCTTCCAGCTGGACCCCACCTAGGGCCCCCAGGCCCGGTGGGTGTTCCCGGCCGGCAGGGGCGGGGCCGGGCGGGGCGGCGGCGCAATACCTCACGCGGCTGTGGAGGGAGGCTTGGGGCTGAGCAGGGACCTGCCCTGCCCACTGGAGACATCCGCGGGAATCCTGCGACACGTGCCTATGGGCCGGCCCTGGGGCCGCCCGCCTGACCCACCCTGCTCTCAGGCGGGGCCACGCTCCAGAACCTGCCTCTTCTTCGACTGTTACTTTTTTCTTTGCGGGGGGGATTCCCTATCTGAGGAACCATTCCAGGTGGCTGCCTGTTCCCCAGCCCAGGCCCTGGGTGCTCGGCCAGCTCTGCTGGGCCCTGGGCCTCCCTGCAGTTCCCCCTTCAAGAAGGGTGTGTGCCACCTCATTTGCCACAGGGACTGGCTCCTAGTCCCTTTCGTGTCCCTAACTTGCCACTTGGGGAGTTCGCCACCATCACCAGTGCAGTCACATCCCTGCTTTTCCGCCAAGGGCTTGGGCCTTTCGGGGCTGAGGGCCTTCCAGGGGATGTGGACCCAGAGGTGGAGCAGCCACCGGGCATCCATAGCCTGGGAGCACTGGACAGGTTCCCCTCCACACATCTGGCACCCTGTTTTTTTCCTCTTCCCCCAGATGTCTTGACGGGATCACTGGGGCTCTTTGTGACTGGGGGTGGTCAAACTGCCACCGGAGGAGATGGGGTCTCAGAGCAAGAGCCCGGGAGGGGGAGGGGAAGAAGGAGGCTCGATTTTGCTGCTGCGGGGCCCACACAGCCCTGTCGGTTTTGGGGGCGGGGAAGGGGCCAAGCTGCAGACACACAGAGTCATTTATTGCAGTCCCACCCCTGCGGGTGGCAGGCGCCTTCGTGTGTGTGCATGTTGCGCTCACACGCGCATGTGAGCCCACTTCGCACCCAGTCTAGGGCTGGCAGTCCTTGCCACGCAGCGGACTCTAGTCCTTGAACCTGGAGGAGGGCCTGTGCTTGTTTTTGTAATCCCCATCACAGTTGCTTTCTTTCATTGTTCCTCCTGAATAAAGGGTTTATTTAAGATACTGAGCAGAGAGGGAAGCTGCTTCCTGAGTGTCTTGGCAGGTTTGGGGAAGGTGAGGCAGGAGGCCCTCGCAGTCTCTTGCCTGCCCACAGTGGAAAGGGTGAGGCATTCAAGTGCCACCCCACTCCCCACCCCATGTCATCATTTCTCATCTGGTGGTGGTGCTGCCTGTTGGCCCAATCTCTGGGTCCCTCTTTGTTCACTATCCATTTGGGCGCCACTGTGTGCTAGGGACCAGGCGCAGCAGTGAGCCGACTTTCTGGAGAGGAAGAAACCAGGAACCGTAGGCACAGTGAATGAGTAAGCTCTGCGGTGTGTATGCACTGCCACAGGCCCGGAATTGACAGTGGGATTGAGCAGCTGATCCCCAGACATCACACAGGGTCAGATCCCAGCTCTGCCATGAAGCCTCCTGAGTGCAGGACCCGAGCTGGGCAGGGACACGGGCAGACTTGCATGTCCAAGTGTGTGTCCCTCTGACTGACACTGGAATCTCGGCTGCAAAGGCCCAGGGTAGGGGGCAGAAAGAGCCCTGCGTAAGGCCATTGGGCCACCTAAAGTGACAGATGAGGCCAGCATCTCTCCTCAACTCGGGATTCCGCCAATACCTTCTCCACACCGTAGCTGGAAGGGTCTCTAAAGCTGGGGTTCTGCACTGCGGAGACGTGGCAGAGTGGGAGGGCAGCTGGGGGCGGGTGGAGCAATTGCGGCCTGACAACGTAGTGGAGGCTTTGTGAGCAATGTAGGCCAGATGGCCAGAGAAGCCCTCTGGTCCAAAACCCTGAAGCGTGGGATGAAATCTCAAAACACGCGAGTGAATGGCTTAGCTGCTGGGGAAATGAGGAAGGCTCTGCAGTAAGAAACAGCGAGGATCCTTGAGTCCAGAGCGGTGAGCCAGCTCCAGGGCTAGCCCAGAGCCGGGGACATCTCCTGTGCCCCAAACCAGGAGCCTCAAGGCATGCAGCCCCACTGACACCTTGATTTTAGTCCAGTGAAATCTATTTTGGATTGCCGACCTCCAGAAACATAAGAGATAAATTTGTGTTGTTTTAAGCCGTTAAATTCGTGGTAATTTGTTAGAGCAGCAACAGAAAACTAATAGGTGACCTAGAAAAAAAATACCTCAAAGAAAGAGGTGAAGGGTATGTGCTTACCTTGGATCTGGGTGGAAGTGGAATAAAAGGAACCCCCCGCCCCCACCTCCCGAGAGTTTATATCCACAAGCTGAAGTTTTCTTTTAGAGTGGTCTAGGCATAGAGTAGTGGATGCTCCGGAATTTCTCTCTCGGAGGTACATAAAGACAGTGTAGGGGGGAGGGTCCTGGATTTGTCTTGAAGCTGCATTTGATTATCTTACACACAGATTTTACTTAGATTGTGACAGCCTAATAAAAATAGCAAAGTTTAAAACGTTAGGAAAATAAACTTTTTTAAAGTTCTAATTGAAGTGGTCCAGAAGTAGTGTTGCCCCAGAGTGCCCAGCAGAAGCAAGCACAAATCCTCTGTGGAGGGATATACTTTAACCACAGGCCTCAGAGAATTACTGTAGAAAACTCTAAAATATATAATGAAAAAAAGCATAAAATTTACAAGGAAACAAGCCACTATGAGTGACAGAAACATATAAACATAAATTTAAATATCAATCCTGCAAAGATAGCAGATTTCGAAAGTATATGACACAGATTATAAAATAAGTATAATTAATATGCTTAAAGAAATGAAAGTATAACAAAAGAACAGGAGAATATAAAATGACCAGACTCTTGAAAAAAGGACCACATGGAACTTTGGAAATTAAAAATATACGATTGAAATTGGAAATTCAAGATATGGGTTAAATAGCATATTAAACACAGCTGAAGAGCAAAATAGTGAACTGGAAGATGGATTTAAGAAAATTACCCAGAATGCAGCACAAAGAGGCAATAAGATAGATCGAGGTCACACATATATTTAGTTAGATTTCTAGAAGAAAAAAAATAAACAGAATAGGGAATATGCAGTATTTTGATAGACAATGGCTGAGAATTTTCCAAAAGTGATGAAAGATACTGTGGAAGAGACTGATGAGTGTCACCCAGTATCCACTCTTCTCTTATGCCTTTTAGAAAGAAAATGACCAAAGGTTAATAGCGTATATGGCTTCCCAGCTAGAAATTTTATTTCCCATCATCCCTTGCAGCTAATTGTGGCCATCATGTTCTTGAATATTGTTTACTTTTTCCATTAGAGCCCTTAGTATTTTAATCGTGGTCGCTTTAAATTTCTGGTCTGATAATTCCAATATTCCTGCCATTTCAGAGTCTGGTTTTGGTGCTGGTTCTGTCTCTTTGAACTGTTTTTTGCCCTTTAGTATGCCTTCTAATTTTTTTGTTCAAAGTTGGACTTGGCTGGGTGTGGTGGCGCACACCTGTAATCCCAGCACTTTGAAAGCCAAGCCTGGGCAACATCGCAAGACCTTGTCCCTACAAAAAGTAGTTTAAAAAATTAACCAGGTGTGGTGGTGTGTGGCTGTAGTCCCAGCTACTCGGGAGGCTGAGGCAGGATGAACACTTGAGCCCAAGAATTTGAGGTTATATTTGGGTTTTTTGTTTGTTTTGTTCTTTTTTTTCTCTCTGTTTTTTTTTTTTTTCTTTTTCTGTTCTCTTTTTTGTTTTTTAGGAGTTCAAGGTTACAGTGAGCTATGATTATGCCACTGCACTCCAGCCTTGTTTTTTTAAAAAAAATAACAAGAAAAAGAAAG